TTCGATACCACACTTCCTCCACATCGTAAGCTGCTTTATTGTAATGTTATCAGTCGATCTTTCGACAGAGGTTCCTTTGGCGTGGCTTCACCCTACTAGTTACCTCAGCCCATCGGGATGCCCGTAAGGGTGTACAAGTGCAGGTCAATGCTTCCATCGGTGGTAAGGAGTACCACAAACATCTGGACCCAGAAGAGCTTATAAAACTACGCCTTTCGATGGGTACATAGCATGATTAGCATCTATTTTGGTATCTATTACCACAGGGATAGAGTTTAATAAGTATGAGACCACAGTAGCGGCCCGTCGAAAGTCAGCGAGTGAGTTCGCTACTGAAGGTCTACTACCAGCACTTGCCACGTGGGGACAGCATACACTTGGGATGGACAACGGTGAGCCAAGGAGGGACACTCATTGCACGATAGCCCTTAGCTTTTGGAGTACTCCATGAAGCCGACGTTATTCGTCAAGGTGAGGTTTAATCCTTTTAGGTCAGTGTGTCGTGACCTTCAATATCCCTGTACAACATTATGGTCAATTGAAGGGTCGTTTGATCCTACAACCATCCCCAGCGGATGCAGTTCCTCTATGTGTGGTTATGTCTCGGGAAGCTGATCGCCTCAAGTACTCTAACAAAGAGTTGAATAAAAAAGTGCAGGAGATGGAGGTCCAACTAGAGGTCCTCAAAGTTGATCGGTGGGGTCTACACATGATGCTGGCTTTGAAGCTGTCTACTCTCAGCGCCTCAGCATCCACCTCTGCTGGGGAGTCAGCAGTAGTAGTCGGAGCGAAGCGGAGGCTACTAGATGACTCTGGTGGTACACCGATGACGCAGTCCTCTACGAAGAAAGCTAAAGACGAATGAATTGATGGTGTGTACTTTGTGTGTTACTTTGCTCATGCAAATAGACTATCCATAACTTGCGTTGGACAGTCGGGGGGGGGGAGTGCTGCAGAGGGCTGTTCATATCTCAGCTATTATCATCCTTTAATGGAACTTGGAGTTCAATGCTCTGGATGGCAACAACCAAGTCATACTATCAGAGAAGTATGGGCCATCATCATATTTCTCTGAGGAGCACATCCCTAGTGATTATGAGATGAACATCGAGCTATTATCGTCAACCTGTTTACAGCATATAGACA